TCTTTCTAAACTCTCCTCTACTCAGAAATTTAATTTCAGAGAACAGTGTGGGGACAAATCATAGCAAAATATATAAAAACCGGCTAGAAAAAAGAAATTCTGCGATCACAGCGGAGAAAATTCAAAATCTTTGAAAATATAACAAGTAATTGATGGAAACATTATTTGGTGGAAGAAATATGTAAAAGACAGATGTAGAGAGTAGCACAGTAACTATGCCATTTATGAGAGCCGAATGAGGTGGCAGAGGACTGTAGGCCCCTGCACCAGTACCGCTTTTTCGCTTCATTTTCTAAAGAACCGTTTCAAATACGTTAAAACTTAATCAGTGCTTTAGAAAGATAAATGTATTCTCTAGGTGTATTATTTCAGGATTATTGTTGGCCGTTTAAATACAAATGAGGCTTGATTTTCAACCACGTTCGAAATCAAGATAATTTAAATGGATTTCGCATCTGTCATATCTCATACAAGAAAATATAAAGAGACATACCCCCATTCAATGCAACTTAGCATATACAAGGTGACTGGGCTATTAGGTCACTTCTGAAAAAATAATCAGCCAAGATAGGTCACATACTATCAGAATTCAAATAAAAATGCAGACATAAAATATTATTTAATAAAAACAAATCTCAGAAAACCAATTATTAAGTGACTTATGTTACTTTTTCAATAATATTAATGTAATATTTCATATAAAAATTATGATTTTATTGAGTCAAGGAACGAAGAAGTAAGTTGATTCCGCCCATTAAGAATCTCAGATAGTTGATGCTTTAAAAGTTTCAAATACAGCTAATTGTGTTTTTATTCTAAAGCTGTTTCCTCTGAAGCACCAAAAGCAAATCGTCTTTTTATACATTAAAAGGAACACGCTCGTTGCAATTGTTTACGTAAAAGATAAATAAAAACAAATGATAATTTCCTTCTATATCACCGACATCGTCTCCCTCCGTTTTTGCAGTTTGCAGTTTTTGCTAACCATGAACTTAGTATTGTCGTATTTATTTCGAGACATCGTTTTTTATCAGTTTTCATAAAAATTGTCGTATTTAGTTTTATATATAATGCCTTGATTAATTGTACCAAATCATCAGCACTTGGCATGTTCTAATGCTAAATCAAAAAATAGAACATGTGAAAGGGGATGGCCTTGCATTAAACTGGAACTGACCAGAAACTTTTGGGATAAATATTTGCGGATTCAAGCTTTATTGAATGTTATCACCATGCACATCTTCACCAAACTTACTGACAGTTAGTAAAACCCTGCTCATAAATCTGAATAATGTAGAACTTCTGCCTGTAAATAGAGTAATGAACTTTTTTTATATCGATATGAAACTGAAGAACAATACTGTATTTATAATAAATATTCACCATAAGGAAAATATTTGATCAACAGTTGAACGAATTAGCTGTTTATAAAAATTATAATTTTTAACAGTAAAATTTTGTTTTATTTTTTTGGAAGAAGGGTTAGTGACACCTGCTTTTTACATTGTTGATAGAAAGGATAATTATTTTCATAGCTATTGTCTTTTGAACTGAAAATCTGCTGGTATTGAGGTTTTTAAAACCATAATTAAAATCAGATAAATTTTAATTGCAAAGTAAAAAAAAAAAAAAACTATTCTTTTGAATAATAAAACAAGACTTACAAATATATTTAATTGATTCCAACTTTATTTAAATGATTTAATTATAAGAAAATTGATTTTTTTTTTCTCTCTCAAGGGATTAATGATAGCAACAAACAATTCAGTGTTTGTTTTTTTTTAGACTAATCAAGTACAAATATGATGCGAGCATATTTGTTTTACACACACATATATATATATATATATAAATATTATAGACTAAAAATGACAGCTAATGAAAAATATGTTTGGCACTAATGAACAGAGCAGTTATTATATTAAGCTATATTTCAACAAGTCTGATGAAATAAAAAAAAATATATGAACGAACACTAAGTATCAAACTGGAGCTACAACCAATCAGAGCATATAATTTTTACTTTATGAATATTTATCATTAATTTACAAGAAATATGCACAATACAAAATGAATTTATTCAGTTAGTTACAATATTAGGTGCTGAATGTAAATAAAGAACAAAGACATGATCATTAAGACAAAATATATACAGTATAATTTTAACAAATGTATATTTATATTTACAAATTACTTAAGACAAGAATGGGTAATAGTGGTACTCTTTAAACTCGAATTATTAGATAGGAATGATTGTGACAACTCATCATTACAATATATTCTTTATATATACAAACACTAAATGAAATCACAATGATTCATTATTATAAATAATAGTATGGGGAACATTAAGAAGCCATGCATTATTTTTTAAAATAAAAGAAGTTATAAAAAATGTTAAGATTGAAAAAGTTTTTTCTTTGTCCCATAAAGTCTGGAGGAGATACAGGCATTCATCATCTATTGTATGTGCAATGTGTGTATAGATGAAATAAAATAATTTACCCAATATATATATAACCATGAACATCAAAAAGATATGAAAAATTTAAATATTTATGATAACTTTCATTGTAAAAAGAAAGTAAAGTATTACTCACCTTTGAACCTCTCCTGATGGATGACATTGTTAAGCCGTCATTTTCAATATAATCAGGAACACTTTTTCTGTCGCTAAAGTTGAAAACCATGGTATTCTGGCTTTGCCAAGGCTTCTTTCCCCATAATTGTGGTTTCTCACTAACACCTGATGAGTCTTCACTATTTACTACTTTACTTTCTACAGTTTTAGCTTTATTAATTAAATTTTTTTCAATTTCTTGTTCAGTTAACATTTTGTTTTTAACCACTGGCCTGATCACAGCAACCTGTTTGGTTTGCGATGGTTCTTGAGCTGAAATGAGAGCAGTGTTGGTGGCTTGATTAACATTTTGGGGTAAGTAGCTCTTGTCAGAGTTAATGACTTTATCGCTAAAACAAAATTTCATTGATAGTCCTTCTTTGCTGATCCTATCTCTTGCTTTTTGAGAAATATATTTTGGTTTATCCTCATTCGGGGACTGTGGACTTTCTACGTTATTCAAATTGACTGGAGAAACGGACAATCTCTCGGTTTCCTTTGGATTTCGGGAAGGTGAAACTTCATTAGTAACTGCCCTTTCAATTCCATTATTTCTAACAGATGATGAATTAATGGCAGATGGTATGATAAATTTTCTTGTTTCACCAGAAGACAAAATCTTGGGACTAAATGGAAATTTCTTAGCTTCACTTGGAGATAAAACTCGAGGAGCAATAACTGGGGGTTTTGCCTTATCAATAGATGACACCACTGGAAAAAAACGCTTTGGTGATGACACTTTTGGTCTAATAAATCTTTTCTCTGGACTGAGAAGAGGCTTTGGAGACAGAGAAGGTTTGTTAGTTTTTACAGGAAGATTTTCAATGTTACTTGGCCTGGAATTTAAATTTGATGACTGTTTAACAGTTTTAACCTTACTTTGCACGTCTGCAGATTGGTTGTTATTTGAGGAAGTTTCAAAAATTTTTAAAGTTTGCTTCACCACATCTTGAGGAGGGAGCTCCTTATCTTCAACTTTGGAAATGAGTTTATTTTCTTCTTGAGTCTCAGAACAATTATCAACTATAATTAAATCTTCATTGATAATAGAGGGAGTAATAATTCCATTAGAATAAACACTTTTATTCAACAATGAATTTGAAAGCTGGTTTAAGTTTGTTTTTGAATCACTTTTCAGCAATGTGTCCATGGAGCGTGCCCGTTTCATAGATTCACTTCCCCTAGTTAAGCCTAAATATTTAGCATGGTGTTGAGAAATTTTAGAACTCCTTTGGGTACTAGAATGGTATGACTTTTTAATGAAATGTGGCTTTTGTTGTAATCTATTTGAATCATCATCTAACATATTTTCTAAACTTGTGGCTCTTCTTAAATTAGATAATGATGGGCGAGCCGAATATTTCTGATTATCACGAAGTGTCATGGACATGTATTTACTTTTAAGTTTGTTGACTATCCCAGGCCCATACTGGAGTTCTTCACTTGAGTCTGATTGATAATCATCTTCATTTTTGATGTCATTGATATTTGAAAATGATTTTGAATTCTTTTCTTCCTTCTGTTTTTCCATATTTTTGAAAGTTGGCTTCTTATCTGGTTTTTCCTCAACCATTTTTACTTTTAAATCACTATCACTGTTACTATTACAATTAATAGCTATAAGCTCACTACCTGGTAGGTCAGCATCTAACAGCCTCATGGTCCTGACTGTGCTGTCAGGGTGAAAGTCCGGCTGGGCACTACAGTTAGGCGATTGCAAAGTACACTGAAGATGTTTACCGTAGCTCTGAACCACTGGAACTGAATCCGCTCTCAGTGCAGTGGGGCAAGTCACTGTCAGCTTTACCATTCCCCCCGCAGATGTTATTGCTCTCGTTAGTGTACGTCTTCTCTGAAGTAATTCCTTTTTCCACTGAGGAACCCCAAGTTCAAAAGGATTCATTTCTTGTTTTCCAGATGCCATTATTCCGAAAATTATATAGAGTAATATTAAATAAACCTAGAATATTAAACAACTACGATAAAAATTGCGTTATTACAACAATAATTGAATGGCCACAGTAGGAGCTTTAGTACAGGAACTCCAAACCCTTCTGAAAAGACTACATTTTGGTAATTGTCGGGACTTAAGAAGAAAACAAACACTTCAGTAAAATACAATTACGTCATACCAAAACACGATGAATGCCTTAAACGCATTCTAGCGGAGATTGCAGGAGTTAAGATCTTTGTCAGGTTACTTTAGGTCGTGATGGTTACATTGTTGTATTTGAAGTGTTGTCACTAGCAGTAGTTAAGTTTTTTTTTAAATGTTGTTATCCGTTTATCAAGTTCCCTAAGATTTTCAAAAGGTTTTTCTATTATCATGTCATCCAATAAACAGTATGGTTTGCAAATACCTAAGAAAAATACACATGGGATGGTTCAGAAGCATGCAGCATTTGGTGATGATAGTGATTCTGATAAATCTGATGGAGGAGGAACAGACTGGGCTAAAAAGGCACTAAAAACTGGTGATAAAATTTCCATTAAAAGACAAACAAAGATTGAAATGCAAAGAGCTCTTGATCAAGATTCTACAGTTTATCAGTATGATGAAGTTTATGATCAAATGGAAAAAGGTAAACAAGAAAAATATCAGCGGGATAAGGATCGTAAACCTAAATACATTCAGAAGCTATTGGTTTCTGCAGAAAAACGAAAAATAGAAAATGAGCGTAGAATCGAAAGACAAGTTCAAAAAGAAAGAGAAGCAGAAGGAGATGAATTTAAAGATAAGGAAACTTTTGTCACAGCAGCATACAAAAAGAAATTAGAGGAATTCGCTAAGCTTGATGCTGAACAAAGAAGACAAGATATGCTTGAAGACATATGTGATGTTAGTAAACAACAAGACATTAGTGGATTTTACCGCCACCTTTATCAGCAGACTATGAGTGGTCCTAAAGAGGATTCACCATCTAAGAATAATGTTTCTAAGGATGAATCTGATACACCTAAAAAAGATTCTCATCGTCAAGTCCATCAATCAGGAAATGGTCATAATGAAGATATCTCTGTAAAAAATAATTTATCCAAAGAAGAAAAGAAATCTGATAGTAAGAAAGTTGATCTAAAAAAAGATAGGCAGTACAGAAAAAGGAAAGAATCAGAAAGTTCGGTTGAAAAAAACAAAGATTCTGATGGTGATACCTCTTCTTCATCTTCTTCAAGCGGTGAATCAGACTCAGAAAAATCAAGCCATTCTGAAACAGAAGACCCTAAACGTATACGATCCAAAGAATATTCATCTACTGTAGAAGTAGTGCCTGCTGAAGTGATTACTGTATCTGAACCAGCAATTTTACCTAACCCTGAACCTTTAATATCAATTTGGGAAAAAAGGACAGTTGGTCATGTATTTGATGCAGCTCTGAAACGTTACTTAGAAAGGAAAAATGCTAGGCTAGCAGCAGTTTCATGATATTTAAATTTTAAAGTTAAATTAAACATTATATGTCAATGGGTGCATTAAGAATAGGGGTGTAATTAATATTGTATTTTATATTAAAATATTTGTTGTTCTAAAGTTAATCAGTTTATTTTTTAAAGTTAAAGTTAATTTTATTCTTTTTGTGGGTTTGATAATAAATAGTTTTATTTGTTAAAATCTTAAAAAAAAAATTTCTTTTATTCTTTAAAGTTATACTTCAAATGATGGTTTACCTCATTATATATTTTTAAAAAATTGCAGTGTCTTGTCTCTAAATGAAGTGAAACTAATATTTTTTTATTTGCATAAAAAAAATATTTTGTTTTTATAGGTATTTGAAATAAAATAAATATTGCAAGGAATAAATAATATTAATTTTGAATTTGTTTCTTGTGGACTGTTTTTCATAACCACTTTTCATTAGCAGTTATTCTAATTTGTTACCTTATGACTTAAACTACTTCTTGTTTGGTTATCTTTTGTTTTCATATTTTTTGTTTTGTATGCATCATTCTTCTTTTGGCATTCATTTTGATTTCAAATTATTAACTTCTATTTAATCTTTTCTATCAGCCACTAGTAAAAGTGTCCCTTAAGCAAAGGGAAATATTTAAATATGTGATAGCAGATCTTAAGAGATACAAAACAGTTGGTTTAAATAATAGTCCAATTTTCTGCAGAATCTTAAAGAAATTTAATTGTAATGCTTTTTTAAATGTTGTTGCCTAGCTCTACAACCTGCTAACGAGTCGTTGCTTCTTCCAACAGGAGTCCGTGTTCTATGCAGTAACCTAATCTCCTAAAACCTTACTAAATTAGGTTTCACAATAAACCATTGATATGTCTTTACTCTTGACCACTAGTAAAGGTGCCCCTTAAACAAGGGAAATATTTTAATAGGTGATAGCATACCTTACGATCTACATAAAAGTTTGTATAAATCATAGTCATATTTTCTGCAGAAAACAAGAAACTTGAATTTTGTGATTTCTTAAGTTACATTTTTTCTTTTAAGTTACACAACTCTAAAATCTGCTAAAAAGTCGTGGTTTCCGACAGCAGCAGTCCCCAGGATCTGTGCAGCAACCATTGAGTTTCAAATTCTAATCTTTCTTGCATCATTGGGCACACAGTCCTGCCATCACCGTCTTGTTTTATGTCTTCCATGTATGGTTTCTGTAAGTAGATTCTTTTAAATCATATCATTCATGCACAAACCATTTCATTCAGCCTTCCCTGTTTTATTATTTCAATTATATCAGACTCTCCAAACAACTTTTATATTTTCAGGCTGCTTCTTAGCATCCTAACTTCTTTTAAATAAAGAAGTCCATATACGTGTCTGAGGACTTGAGTTTCAAATATTTTGAGGTTTCTTTCCTCATTTTTAGCAGTTGTTTGAGTTTTTGCTCCATATATAAAAACTGAGAGAATCGGTGAGTAGATCTATCTTGGGTCTTTCAAAACAACTGTAGCAATTGTTTTTTCAGTGGAAAATAGCATCAACTTGCATACCATGTTTAGAAAAACTTGTATAAAATTTAAAACCAAACGATATAATATTTAAAAACTTGTATAAAGTTAAAAACCAACTTGAAAAACTTGAATAAAATTTAAATTTACCTCTAGTTGTATATAAAATTTTTATGATATTGTCACTTCAAAATATTTATGTTTTCAGCAACAATAAATTATTACAAAGCTGTAATTTCTTCTTTTTTGTGTGTATCTGTGTCACCTAGAAAGTATTGTAACAAATTAATTATTTATAAAAATTATGTCAATAAAAATTCTACAACGATACAACACCAATGTTTTTTAAAACTGATCTCTATTATCAGAATTCATCCTTATTGTAATAGATGACAAACTAAATGTTCCTAATCTTTATATTTTGGATGTTGGGTTTCATTTCTTCCAAAACAAAGAAAAAAAAATTCAGAAATGTTAATTAATAATAATAATAATAATCGATTACTTTAAATTGGTATTGATGTTCTCTATATCATGTAATATGAGGATTTTTATTTGTCCTATAAAGGCTATTTCCAACATAAAATAACCAATTCCTTATAAATGTTGCTTCTTCAGAACAAAAGATTCTCATACCAACTAGGGTTTTCTTCATTGAATCTCAAGCTTTCATTACCTACAAATCGTCAATAACAATTTAAGGTAGTAGCTCATTATTGTGTATTATTATTATTTGTTAGTTTAGCTCAACAACCTTCAGGCAAGTTCTGGCTTCCTTCAGCAGGAATTGCCGTGTGTCCCTATTCTACGCTGCTGCCATCCAAATTATCATTTCTGAAAACATAATCAATAAAGGCTTCAATCAAGGCTTGATCAATTGTAATGAAAATTTAAGTAATTCAGTTTGTCAGTCAATACAATAAGGATTGATAAAAAACAATAGTCTGTATAAAAAACATTGGTGAATTATCACTTTAGATCTAGAATTACATATAATGAATATGTCCGCAAGCTGGTAGAAAAAAAGAGAGAAAAATCTTGGCCAAATGTACTAGCTCGCATAGGATAGGCAAGAATGGATTATATGGATTGAGGCTCATACATAGAGGAAGGAAAACAAAAAGAATTATCATTTCAGATAATTATATAATAAAATTTTCAAAAATCAATATTTTATATATATAATTGGTGTATTCTAATAATTAAATGTTTGCAATAATTTATTGTATTTTTTAATCCAAATCTCAACTTAATGTGAATTTAATGCTTATTAAATAACAAAGTTTTTCAAAGTGAGGTATCCATAATCCCCAGTTGATGCATGATAAAAAAAAATAGAACTTAGCACAGTTTAGGTACTTAAATATCCTCTTTAAATGTTTGTAGTAAATACAAACTATTTGCATTTGGAGGAAATTTTGCATAGTTAACTAGGAAGCAATTGTCAATTACCTAAATTAAATATTTATTTATTTATCACTATTCAAGAAATCATGACTAACTTAAGAAACACAAAACTTACATTTTCTGTAAAAATTGAACAATAATTTGTATCAATATTTTGTAGCTCATAACAAGTCTGATATGTTTATGTTTCTCTTTACTTACACAACCCCCATATAAATTGTAGATTTCCGCTGAAAGGACTGAAAATTATTATGGTTGTCTGGGGTGGCTTGAACAGGATTCAAATCAAATTGGCTAAAAAAGAATGTTCAGAGAAACCGAAACTTTATTCATAGAAGATATGATATTCTAAGAAAAATTGTATGTTTATGTGGCAGTTTAGAAGTGAAAAAGGTATTATAGATTCTAAAAAAGTTATTTTTACATCAATGAAACTACGTCTCTTTTGATTAATGAATTGTAGGTTAGATGAGAAATGAAAATATATATTTAGGTTGCAATTATTTTATTCAGTGCAATAATAATTGTACCAACCCTTAAATATTTTATGTAAACCTTCCTTTTAAAAATCCTCATTTTCTATCTGCTCTAACATTAAACTTTTCTGTCCAAGAGGTTCATTATTACATTAACTCAATTTAATTCTGTTAGGTTTCTTTATTAATTTAACAGTTATTTCTGTTTAAGACAGTCTTGACAGTTTTATTTAGTTAGTTAGTAATTAATAAAAATAATGAAATATCTTTTGTTCCTGTTGAATTAATCAAAGCTTTGTTATTATTAAAACCAAAGCACATATTTTTCTTATTCCCTCTTATGTTATATAAATTAAATAATAACTTATAAATCCTTATAAAATATTTAGTTATCAGAGGAAAATTATGAGTTCAAAATAATAAAGAGGAACGAAATAAGGAAAACTGCATTTGAAGAGTACTGTTTTTTGTCTATACATGGTGGGAGAAGATGGACCATATTCTGTCTTCTCCAGCATCCTGTATAAGCTATCCAGTTCTTTCTAAAATTGATGGTCTTAAATGGTGCACCTCAGAACCAAGCTAAAGAGAGACCAACCAGACATCCCACCCCAAAAAATTGAGTTCCTCATCAGATCAGAGATGAGAAAAACTGTTCAATAAAGTATTTGTAAATAGAAACAAAATGTAAAAATTGAAATATATTACAAATAAATAAAGAAAAAAAAAGTGTTATTGCTATTTGTTATATGCTGACATGTCTGATTCCTCTTTTACCAAAAGATAGGATTTAAAAGATAGAGGATCATAGGATTAGTAGAATTCTAATTATCAATAGTTATCCTATATATTATTTCTAAAAGGTTTTTTTTTTGTCGGTATGCCATAACTTTGTCAATTCTACATCAAATCCAATGATTGACCACTCATTTTGAAGATATTCTTCTCCTTCACATGCAAAAAATAGTCCTATTCCTCCAAAATTTCTGGAAAAAAAGTTATGAAGGAAAAGAAACTTTGTTTGTGAATAACTCAAAAAGTATGTATTTTTTTTTTTACTGTACCCATGATAATTAGAAAGATTACTAAATTACCTACAAAACAAAACAAAATTTTAAAAATCGGACAATTATTAACAAAGATACAGCCCATTAATTTTGGTATACTTAATAATGTCTTCCTCTTTAAAGATATTGCATTTAGGATTAGAATAGTCTATTACACTTTTTTTGCTGGCTGATATATTAACTTTTTATTTCTTAAAGGCATTTGTTTGTTCTTACATTTTATTTTTTTTAATAATTTAGAAAATCTCATGCTCCATGCTTTATTTTGTCTTTATTATCTTTCCAGTCAGCGTTTAAAAATAGGTCCTAGCAAAGTAACTTGTACAAATATTTTGGTCTGTTATGTTAAATGGAATATTGTAATCGAGCAAGGAAAAAATATTCATTTTTTCCTTACATAATACATAGGATCTACTTATTTCCACATTGTTTTGCTATTTCTTCACTTAACAAAATTTTCTGTGAATTATTTACCAGGGCCAACTGGTTATATTAATTATTAATAATTGTTCTAATTAGTTAGACGAGTTCTAAAAAAGTCTAGAGATACTCGCAATGTAATCATAAG